ATAGATCTAACACATGATCACTCTTGGGAATACACGTACTGCAGAGATATTTGCTCACCCATATTCATTGAAGCACTATTCACAGTTGTCAACCAACTGATGAATGGATGATGAAAATGTGGTACATTACACAATACAATTTTTATCTGTTCAGAAAAACTAAATTATGAAATTCACAGGTAAAGGAAATGGAGATGGAAACAATCATCCTGAGTGAGGTAACTCAGACACAGAAAGATGGATTTTTATGCCAGCTTCCACTCATATGTGGATGTTTGAATGTTTAGATGGTGGGTTGCACTTGGAATAACCACAGTAGTTAAGAAACTAGTAAAGAGCTGCCGGGCGTTCGAACCAGGGACCCCCGGCCCAGTGATGATTGGGGATGAGTAAGCATGCTGTTTGCCAGCCCACGCCACCCCCAATACTGGGGACACTCAGACGCAACAGGGAGTCTAGTCAAGCAGGGACTCATTTATTACAGGTATTACAGAGCTTATAAAGGCACCTGGAACTCCCTTCTCTGCCCCCCAGGGTGTATCTTAAGGATGGTCACAGGCTGATCATGCACTCCTCAGCAGTATGGAAGTATTCTTCAGACTTTCAAAGCAAGCCAGGCCGCGCATCCAGTAACTTCCTTTCGGACCTATGCAAGGTGGGGCCTTTAGGTCCCCACAACTTAGGGGTGGGCATCTCACAGACATTCATTGTTTGTGACCAGTTGTAGAAACCTGTAACGGTCCCACCTGTTGCAAAAAGAAGCTTCTTTGATAAGGGATGACTGGTATACTTGTCCATATTTAGGATACAGTAAGAAATTATACTTGCCTGGGGATGTGACAGAAGGTGGGTTTTCTCCAGGATCTATGACCTCTCCAGCCATGTGTATTTGGCTATGTTTACAGTGTCACAAATGAATTCCCTCCCACTGAGCTGGCTTTAAGTCCAGTTAGAAGCTGGTGATTGATTACCTACAAAATGAACGTGCCACTACTGCACCAATACAGTTAGTTAGCTGTGCAGGTCATTGTTACGGTTATTAAGCTTTAAAGCTGGGGCTGGACCACTGATTGATTTTCTCCTTCAGCAGCTTGCAAGTATCCCCTAAGACTATGAGAGCTAATCTTCAGGGAGGAGATTTCAAGGTCAGTTCCAGCTCGATTGCTGGAGGGTCTCCTCTTGTTAGCTGAAACCTCGGATCCTTTTTGGGTCCTGGAGACGCCACAGCCACCCCATAGGCCAGACCGCCCCAGCCAGTGCTCAGGTCTCCCAGCCTGCTCAGCTGGCCTGGAACTGTATGCCAGAGATCACTTGCCTCTCTGCCTCCTGAGTGCTGGGATTTAAAGCGTGGGCCACACTCCACAGGCTTTGTTTTTAATAAGGCTCTTGCTTTCCTAAGGAATGAAATCCCTGGCAGGGATATTTTTTGTTCTGGTACAGTAGATGGAACTTAGGGAGGGCCTCTTGAGACAGGTTTCACTCTCCACTCCCTTAACCCACAGGTACCTTGAGATTTATATCCCTGTCTCCAGAAGTTGTACTTGCTATTGAAATTAGTTGTCTCTGTTATGTACTTGTGTACCGTCCAGGAAGTTCAAAATGACTGGTCTCTGATAAGAAATGAGAAATTAAGTATGGCTTGCTAAGATGGGGAGAAGTGTCCAAAGAATTAGTACCTCTTAAGGAAGGAAGCAGTTGAAGGAAAATAGGTCCCATTTTCAAACACCCGAGAATTGTCACCCCTGCTAATTTTAAATGTTTTGAGTTATTTCTAGTTCTAGTAGAATGCACATCTAGTATTTCACAATCCTGAATACTTTCTTGAATGAAAAGTTTTTTTTTAAATGGGCTTCTGAATAATGGGGTGGTGGATCAAGCGAGTCTTTAAAAACCTGGAGAAAAAAAATGTAATTGTCCTTGGGTACAATGTTCCACTTTGAGATTCTGATAAAAGTTATCATACTATTCTGCAAAGATGCACACAGACATACAACCCAACATTTCACATGCACTTTAGGGAACTTTGGAGTTTCCAAAGCCAGCTAGGCCTACCAATCAGCTCAGCTCCAGGTAGAATGAGAAATGAATGGATGTTACAGTCCTATGGCTATTGGAACTTGTCACTGCCATCTCAGAGGCCTAACAGCACAGATGTCATTGTACATCTCCAGATGTCATTAGTCTGACCAAAGTCACTGTAGCCTGAATGCAAGGTGTCATAGGCCTGGTTCCTGGATCCTTGCTTTTTCTGGCTTCTGGAAGCACCTATACTCCTGGGCTTGAACAGTTCCCACTTCTCCAAGGTGCACAATTAATAAGGCTGTGTGGACTTTATAGGATTCCCTGGGGAGGCAGTCCTGGCTCCAAAGTACAAAAACTGCACAGTAGAGGCCACTATGGGGTAAACCTGAAGGGCACTCTGGAGACCCTTTAAGGACCTGGCCCTCTCTAGGGGCTTCTCCAAGGATTATATGGATGGGAAGGCAGGATCTCTTGTCAGAGTAGTTTGGAGAGTGATGCTGTATCAAAAGAAGCTTGGCTCAGGGACATGGAGGCATAGCAGTTGGAGGAAATATGAACCTGCTGGCTCCACCGCCTCCACTGCGGCCCCTCCCATCACCATGGTTCCCACCCAGCTCCCCCATCCCTGTGGCTCCTCCCAAAACCACAGCTCTTCTCCAGCCCTGTGATTCCTTTCAGGTCCCAGGCAGCCCAAGGTATAGAAAAGAAGGCTTGCACAGAAAACCTTGTGTCCACCTATACCCACCTGCAAAGGTCTAGGGTGTTAGTCACAAATGAGGTCATCTCCAGCCAAGCTCCATCAAAGTCACTTTTTCACCCAGCTCTCCCCCTTTCTGTGTAAGCAGCCTCACTCCAGGTCTGTCAGAAGCAGAGGATTCCAGTGGACTGTGCCAGGTTTAGCAAGGCTGACCCCAATCTCCCTGTAGAACAGGAGGCAGCCAGGACATCCCTTCCTGTTCTGGAGGCTCAGAGAGGGGGACCCAGGAGGGGCTCAGCTGGGCATAGCATCTGGGTGACCTAGTCCTGCCAGCACAAGATGTCAAATCACCAGCCACAGTAGGGCCTAGATCTACACACTTCTGCTTCACACCTGCTTCTTGTTAGGTCCTGCAGACCTTGAGCTGGCACACTTTGCAGTGGTACACACCTAAGCTAGCATATCAGCCTGGTGCTCACTGGCCACAGCCTCTCATGGTCTTGTCCCAGCAGCTGCATGAGACAAACCTGCCTGATGAATGAATTGGGTCTGTTTACCTCCATTCCTCGGCCCCTCTCCCCTCTACCTACCACCCCTCTACCCCTCCACCCCTCCACCCCTCCATCCTCTACCCTCCATCCCTCTACCCCAACTCCTTATACTGTAGTGAATATTCTTTTAAAAAAATTTAATTTATGTGTATGAGTGTGTGTGCATATAGAAGCAGAGAGGGTGTCAGATCCCTTGGAGCTGGAGTTACAGGTGCTTGTGAGCTGCCCAACCTGGGTTCTGGGAAACAAATTCGGGTCCTTAACTACTGAGCCATCTCTCCAGCCTCTGGGGTGAAAAAAATCTTCCTCCAAATTTGATATTTATTTGTAGTTTTTGGCTGTAACCTAGTTGGAAATGGAGTCCTAATCATGTGAAGATGAGGTCAGCAGGGTGGGCCCTAAATCAAAGACCTGTGTCCTCATAAAGGGAAATTTGGACACACGGATGGACACACACACACACACACACACACACACACAGAGAGAGAGAGAGAGAGAGAGAGAGAGAGAGAGAGAGAGAGAGAGAGAGAGCAGAAGTCACATGTTAGGGAAAGCAAAACCAGAGTAATGTGACTATAGGCCAAGGATGCCTGGCACCTCCACAGAAAATTAGGTCCTGTCCATACCATTCTGGCTTCCAGAACTGTATGAATGAAAAGCCTGTTGTTTAAGCCCCAACTTGTAGAGATTTGTTACCATATTGAAAATTCATCCTCTGAGGGAAAGGGGTCATTGACCAGGACAGTCCCTGGGTATCCAGAGACTTGCCATGTGGGTGGGGCATTTCAGGAAATCTGAGGTCAAAGGACAAGACTGGAAATGGAAAGGGAGTAAACAGGTGATGGAGGTGACTGGCCTAGCTGGAACAGGGAAAGAACACAGAGCTAAAGCTAGGTGGCACCTCTGGAAGAGTCCAATGAGTGAGAGGTCCTGGGACAGAAAGACCAGAACTGGGCAGGAGGTCTGATGTAGGCACCCATCTGATGTGAGGAGATGGGATAAGGCAATGTACTCAGATCTTGGTCTATATTCTCTGGAATGTAAGCAACCTACAGCTTGGGAAAGTTCCCAGCGGCAGAGCTTTTTTTTTTTTTGGATCAAAAACAAAATGAAGGGAAAACAAAAAAAAAAGTATCTGGCTCCATACACTTCTGTCACAAAATAACAAGATTGAACAGTACCTATGGAAGCCCACTCCCCTCACTGTGCCCCGTAGCCTAGCTCCCAACATATTGGGCCAAATGTGAAGGCTAAAGGTCACTTTTTAAAATGTTGTTAAATGGCACATCAAGGTATTTTCAGACACGGGGGTTTGTTTCCTATGGACATTTCTTTTTTACAAAAAAATATATATAACTTAGTCTGCATTTTACAGCATTTCCAATGGGTCAGGATGTCACTGTCTGGGACCTAATGAGGTCAGAGCAGCATCTACCTTCCCGGCTTGAGCACCAGGCTGGGCCCATGCCACCAACCTGCAGCCTACATCAGGATTTGAACAAAGGGGGCCCAAAGAGACAGCTTATTTGAAGGACAGCACCATGTCACCCTGTGATCAGTCCATGTGGATTTCACAGGGGTTTATGCCCCTCTCCTCTGCATCTCTGTACATCCTTTGGAAGTCATTAAAGCATGGGGCACATCCGAGCTGTGCCTCCCCAAAGTGCACATGTTCAGTGAAGAGGAAGTCCCCGTGCCCTGGCCGCATACCACACTCCAGCAGTGTTGTGACATGACCCAGCTAGTGGCCACTGCCCTCAGGAGCTGGCCAGAAGACCCTGCTCTTCTGCCAGTGGAGCTTGCTCACACGCAGATGGATGATGGACTCTTGCTGCTCTGGCACATGGGTGACATCCTGGATGGAGCCATGGATGACTGCAAAGGAAGGAGACACAGGTCAGCAGATCCATTAGGTAGTGTCAGTCAAATGAGGCACACATCGTATATTGCCCTGGGCATGTCCCTGGCTATCAAAGGTATCAGAACCAAGATCTGACCCACTCTGCCACCTAGGGTGGCCCTTAGAAAGAAAGCAATCCCAATTCTGACACTGTTAAACAGAGATGCTCCACTGAGCACCAGACACACTGTGCATATGCTCTTCAGATAAAAACAAGAAGATAAGCACAGCTAACAAGATGTTCTGCAGTTCTGAGTGTCATCAGGTGCCACAGTACAGCTCAGAAGACAGGGTTGATATGAGGGGAGAGGACAGGGAAAGACAGGTGTTGAAGGCGGTGGCTAGGGCCTGGAGAGCAGAGCAGTGAGGAGTTATATCATCAGGGGACAGCCTTTGGTGTTTGGGTGGGGCTCTGAGGAGGGCCAGCTAGGCCCTGGCTTAATGCAGCCATTACTATGACAGCAGCTTAGCAAGCACTACTCCTGGCCTATGTCCAAGAGCACTGTGCAGATGTCACTGGCAAGGTGCCTCCATCCCTCAGATTACAACCTTGAATCCAATAGGACTTCCAATACTCCAGCCACCTGGACGAAAACTGGACAGAGCTCTGAGATGAGGAGGGCCAGCTAGGCCCTGGCTTAATGCAGCCATTACTATGACAGCAGCTTAGCAAGCACTACTCCTGGCCTATGTCCAAGAGCACTGTGCAGATGTCACTGGCAAGGTGCCTCCATCCCTCAGATTACAACCTTGAATCCAACAGGACTTCCAATACTCCAGCCACCTGGACGAAAACTGGACAGAGCTCTAAGACAGGGCTGGTGCCAGGGACACACCAACCGGGCGACCCACTGAAGTGTGTTTCCAGAGTTCTAATAAAGTTGCTGGGAACTGAAGGACTTCCAGAGTCCTCGGGAGGTGGTGAGCTGCTGTGCACAGTGGGAACACACCAACACATCTCGAATGCCAGCCCCAGCTCTGTCTGCGTGCATAGTGTGCAGAGACCTTCCTTAGTGCACACAGACACTCTACTCCCTGTCATTCCAGAGTGAGACCACATTCTGCAGCTTCTGCAGACCTCCCACCTGGTCAAACGAAATCAGTGCTGACTTGGGAAAGCCCTTGGGTCCTGGAGAGAGACACTTATAGGAAGCAGGAGCAGACTTACCAAAGTCACTGGTGCAAATGACAAGGAAGACCTCAGTGTCACTGCATGGCCGACAAGAGGCTGGGGAGGAAACAGCAGTGTGAGAATGCAGCCCAAACAATGCTGGTCAGTCACAGACCCTCCCACTCCTGGACACTGCAGAACCGGAGTGTCACCAGCCTGCCTCTCTGGCCTATGCCAGAGTTAGAGAAAGTCATGGTGAGACCTCTGGCCAGCTCTAGCTCTACCATGGAGGTGCTCAGCAGAACAGGTGGCAGAAAACCAACCTCAGTCAAGCCATAGACTGACTCCAGGGGACCCCTTGCTGCCACTGGATCAAACTGCAGCCATAGTAGCAGGTGTCCAAAGAAAGAGGAGCTCTAGCCAGGCGTGGTGGCACACACCTTTAATCACAACACTTGGGACACAGAGGCAGGTGGATCTCTGTGAGTTCAAGGCCAGCCTAGTTCCAGGCCAGCTGGGGCTACAGGGAGACCTATCTCAAAAAGACAAAAAAAAAAAAAAAAAGAAAAAAAAAAAGGAGCTCCATGTTACCCCATTTACCTTGTTAGTACAGATGTGCCAGATGAGCAACAATTCCACTCACTTAAAAACTGCTCCTCCAGGGGATAGAGAGATGGCTCAGTGGTTAAGAGCACTGACTGCTCTTGCAGAGGACCTCGGTCTGATTCCTAGCACCCACATAGCATAGAGAGATGGCTCAGTGGTTAAGAGCACTGACTGCTCTTGCAGAGGATCTCGGTCTGATTCCTAGCACCCACATAGTTATGAACTGTACTTAACTCCAGTTCCAGGGGAATCTGAAGCTCCCTTCTGACCATCGCAGCATTGCACGACACGGGTGCACTCACATACATGCAGGCAATACACTCATACACATAAAATAAAGATAGTAAATATTTTTTAAGAAACTGCTCCTATATGCCTGTCACAGTGCAAAGCCAACCCCAAGTTGAGAGACCATGCCCCTATACCACCCAACCAAGGTGCCTCTCCCAGCTTTCACATCCATACCCCAAAATGACATGGGCATCTCACTGGAAAGTAGACCCCCTATTGCAGTATAGAGGTGCCCACTCCCCAGATCATGGCCCGAATGGAGGATCTCACTCATCCCACCTGCCCCAGGCACTGCCCACAAGGACCAAGGACAAGATTCTATAAAGGGAGTGTTAACAGGGGTCAGAGAGAATGGAGTGATGGGGGGATATCTGTCCCTCTGCTGTGAGTATGGGGCCTTAGGCTGGGGCCATAGGCTCAGCCATTTTTCGAGGCCTCACCCAGTCCCGGGACAAGTTACATACCCCAAGTGTCTGTCAAATTGAGTCCTGTTTATAGGCCCCATTTGAGGTTCCCAAAACCGGGGCCTGGCTTCTTCCAGAAAGCCTAAAGGTACACACCCACTTAGAATGAGCTCTCTTACTGGGACTTACATACACAACATGGTTCTTCAGGGGCAGCCCTCACCTGCCCTTCATCCCACTTCCCCTGGTATGGAACAGAAACTCTGGCTCAGCAATTTCCCCACAGACCTCTCAGAGTAGATTCAGGAAGACGGAAACTCATTATTTGCCGTGATTTATGTTTCAAGCCTTTGCCCTCAGTTTCCTGGTTCGAACCTAAGTTCTCCAAATCAAGAGAAGAAACCCTGAGGTATGAAATCTCAGTGGAAAAGTTTCCCTGCAAATGCTACAGGACACCCTTGTCTTGAGCTTCTTGGCTCGGGAAGAATGCTACCCACATGCCTGGTATGATGGCTAATCCTGGGTGTCAACTTGATTGGATCTGGGATTAACTGAAATGAAAGAGATCTTCTTGATTGGATCATCTAAAGCCGGAAGAC